TGCAGTTTCCAGAATGAATTTTACTTGGCACCATTAATTGGGGTGGACTTGTCTTCTTTGCAAAGTCTGGGCTGTTCTGTGTCTTTCAGTGAAAAGCTAACTGTAAACACTGCTGAAAATGTAGACCCACAGAAGCAGGGCATGGAAGCATTCTGCCCTGGCACATTCTGCTCCTCACATTTGTTGAAGAATACCCACCCAATCTACCACTGTTCTCAGCCTAACTCCTGCTTTTTCTGAGAACAGAAAAGAAGCAGCCCCTTCTGCTATCCCAAATCTCTATTTCAATCCCTTTATTATCTCTTACACAAGGGAGACTATCATGCCTTAATATTTCATGTACCAATTTATCATATGTGCATTAATAAAAGGATCACACCAGCTATGATTGAAGAGGGGGCTCCTCTGAGGTGGAACTATGCAGACTTTAAAGGGCGAAACACAAAACTTCTCTTCCATCACTTGCACTGTTTTTATACTTTTGAAGCACTTCACAAATATTAATTAGCTCTAAATAAATTCTAATGATTTCCAAAAGTGGCCCTAGCAGATCTGTATCATCTGGTGTGAAATCTGACTTCAGTGAAGTCAACAGCAACAGCTCCTCAGGCCTCGGTGGAGCTGGCATCTCACTCGCCACTGCCGAAACGCTGGGAGCTGTCTGCACTACCCAGCGAGCATCACAAGGGGAGCTGGACTAACAGGAACAAATGGCAGGGTTAAAGAATGCTGGCTGAGAGTAACAGGAGAAGGGTTAAATGACCTGAACCCATCCGCACAGCCTAAACGTGGGAGAAGCTTTGCCACAGGTTGTGAAATGCAGGAGTCAGGCTCTGGCTGGTCTCCACATCAGCTGAGCTGGAAGGTGCTCACCTGCTGCTACAACCCACACGTCTACTTAGGATATTGGGGTTGACTCCGAACATCTGCTCACGCCACAGGTCACTAACTTAGTTAACAGTCCACTTTGAAACATCAAGAGTTTACAAAGGGCTTTGCATTATACCTATACAAACTTTACATATTATGTATATAAAAAAAATACGTATGAAGAAGTTTGCATAAAAATCAAAACACTTAAATTCCAAACAGCACACAGAGAACAGATAACCAGGTATGCAGCAAATAAGTAGGTAAGCAGTATTTTTCTCGCTCATCATGGACAATAGAGTCCATCAGACACTGCCAACTTATTTTTCTCATATGAAAAAAGTGCTTTCGTTGTAAAGGATAATATTAAATATTTTACACACAATTATACCTAGGTATGCAAGTTAAAAATCAACTGAAATCATACAGTATGAATCTTTTTCTCAAATAGAAATGTAAGCCTAATAGAAGTTCCTCCCTTTTTCTCTGCCAACTTTACCACCACACAATATGCCATACAGAAAAAAGGGGAAGTGTCAAATTGTGTAAATTGTCCCTTATGTAATCCAAACCATCTGTTTAAAAAACAAAACAAAATGAAAAACCAAGCCACTCCCAAGCATGATCTCCTATGGGAAAAAGAAAGAAAAGGAAATTTACTACACTGAATTGGAAGCCAAAGACCATGACCTGCCATGTAATCATGGAGAGAATATTTACCCCTTTCATCCCTGTGTTTACCCAATTTCTCAAAATATTTGGAGAAGTGAATAATTTGCTCTGCACATATAAGAGATTGATGTATTCCTCTGAGCATTTCAGCTGTCTAGGATGTTCCCAATCAGGTAGGAACCCAAACAGAGAAAACTCTTTGTTTCCAATAACCGACAGAGTAACTCTCACACAGTTATGTCACCACTGAGTCAGAGATCCCCGAGTCCCCAGCCACTGGAGCCTCGTGAAGTACAGGGTTATGAAGTTTTGGTATGCTCTTGTCCTATTTTTCCACTCTTCTTTAGCTATTGGTGATGAGAGGAATCTAAATGGAACCCTGCTATGAACTGTTATGGCTATTCTTGTGCTATCTTCAGTCAAATCCTCAGCAAAGGAAATATGTGTAGAGGAAACAGTGCTCTCCCTTTCCACAGCTTCTCTCTGGGTAAATCATTAGTTCAACGGGAAGCACTGGCTGAGGGACCCTACCACATACACCCTTTGAAACCACTGGGAGACACACATTTGACCCTCTGTTGCTCTTAAGATGGACACGTGATTCAGAAAGCATTGAATAAGTTAGTTTGGTTTCATTATCTCAGCTGAATGAAAGAAAAATAGCGGCGTAATTAGGTATTCATCGATTTTTCTCTTTCACTGACCTCGAGGCTTCATCACACATTCTCTTCCAGCTGCAGCTGTGCTGGCTGCAGAGGCCACCATCTCCAACCACAGCCCTCTGCCAAAGGTTACCACTGTGACCAAGCTGCTTGTTTGATCACTTCCCAACATGCTTTCATTAAAATGAGCCAGCTCAGTTTAAGCCATTTTAGCGGCAAGCCTAGCCTGGACAGAGGCAAGTTAAGGAGCACTTAATCAAGCAGCTTGGCCAGTATGTCAGAAGTTGGAGACACAGTGATGAGCAACTGCAGTTACCTCCTCAGACTGCAGACAGAAGATGCCGTGGAATCCAGTCACCAGGGGTGACAACGGCACAACTGACTAGACATCTGCATTGCCTTAAATGACACAGGTTGTTAATGCTAGTAAATATCAGAATCGTCACTAGAGAATTCCTATCAACCAGCCACACAAAATAATTCTGAAAAAATATCAGTCCAAAAAAACCAGTAGGTTTTCAAAAGGACCAGGAAGATGTAGAAGTGAGGTTCCATTTTCCTAAGGTACATAAGTGAAATTTTAAACACATAATGGCAGTCGGATAAAAGTGTTGGTAGTGGGCTCTTCAGAACTTCATAGGAAGGCTTTGCATCCCAAACCAAACTCAGTGAAAGTTGGGCATGTAATGTGCTGAGAAGCTGAGAATTGATCCGCTCTATGTTCTCTGTTGCAGTGCTACATTGGTATCCACTTTAACTCAGTTCAAGCTAGCATAGGTGACTGTACTGAAGTTTACAGTACACACATCAGCTAAATATCTCTGAAATTTAGATCCTAGTGCCTTTGTCACTCTTCAAATGAAGGTTTAGTCTCCTAAATCACTCAGGTGCTTTAGAAAATTTTATTCAAAGCTCTTACGTTTATAATCTATCACATCTTTGCCAAGAGGACTGATACACAGAAGGGCAAGCAGAAAAGTGGGAGAAATATGTTTTAATGGCCTGTCAAAAACATTACTTGATGTGAACATGTTACTGTTTTAAGGCAGCTACATTTTTCATTGCTAGAAGCTTTCTAGGTATAGCTAAATCCGTATATGCTTTTTTGTTTACACTAAACTGTGAGTGAAAAGAAAAAATCCTTTGGACTACTTATCACTTTTCCTCAGCTTCTCAGTCAAATTCAGTCAAACATGCCAGGGAATCACCAAACACAGAGCTGTCTTTTTCCACTGGCTTCTGCTCAGTCCTAGACCTTGGCACGCTGTTAATTCCAAGCTTTACTGCCAGGAGCAGCAGCAACTTTGCTCTTTTTTCTTTTTCATTTTCAAGGTTACACAAACATGCAATGTCATATGTACTTCATGGATGTCAGGAACTATAGGGCTGTCTTACAGTTAATGTACATGCAGTGAAGGGAAGAAAACTCAACTCTTTCTATCCAAACTTCATTAACATGGATCTAATTCAATCTGCCAGATACATCTAACAGGGTGCTTTCCTGACCTTTTCCAGGCCTACAGGTATGGTAGCATTCATATTCGGTGTGGCTTTCAGTTAAACATTCTGTCATGTGAGTCACTACTTCTCCCATTTGAGCGACACTCAGTGTGAAATCACTGGAAGAACCAAATGAGCCTATGCTTTGGCACTGCAGCTGCTGGGGCACTTGAAGTGTTTTGAACAGTAATTTTCAGTAGTGGTCCCACTCTGTAAAATATTAGGAAAAGCCATCAGTGGCCAAAGAAACTCCAGTTTGCATTCAAGTACTGTATCTACAGTGTTACAGAAATGGAAAAAAATCTGAACTTGTGGGCTACATCAGTTTAACTAAGGGAGTATTTTTATGTTCTAACTTTATGAAACTGCTGCAGTGGCAAGTGCTCAGTAACTTGAAACAACTGATGAATTCATGAGTTAGTCAATGACACAGATGGATACACTGACATGGACATCATAAAGCTAAACACACATGCTAGAGACAGAGAATGGTAGAGCAAGCACGTCTTAGATCACTCAGTAGGAAAGTGATGTCAGAAGACTTACACAAGCACAAATGCATGAAAACAAGTTTAAGAAATTCATGCTCTAGCTAAGCCTATTCATGGAAATTGGAACTCCTTGATTATTCCTTAACTTGTATTTATTATCATTCTGTTGACAGGAACACGAAATCCTACAGAAGACTTAAATAAAATTTTTAAAAAAAAATCTGGGGAGTGCAGAGAACAATTCATATCCTTCAAAGATTAAAAAAAGTAGATGCTATATTTTTTACTGTTAGGCTCTCATAAATACACCCATAGTTTGTGTCAGTCCATCAAACTGAAAGACATATGCTACGTTTGATCTCTGTGCTGAACCCCCGTTGAGATTAATGTGAGTTCTGTGTGAAGAAAGAGACTAGAATAGGCCCTCAGTTCACAAACAGTAAGCAGGCTGCTTCAGGAAAAAAACACCCATATTTTCTTACAACAGTGTTGAAATTTATTGAGAAGTTTCAAATATGTATGTACGTATGTGTGGTCATGAGCATGTTCACTTGTCAAAAAGACCTGTCAGAAGGAGGGTGCACAAATCTACTTGTTCTGTGAAATGTTTTGCTCTTATGTTGAAACACATACTTCATCTCTGACAATCTTTTCTCATACAATAACAACTAACTCTCTGTTTCACACTCATCTGTGCAAGTTAATGGCTTTGTCCATGAGTCTAGAGAGGTGATGCTTTTATAAAGATTGGCATGAAATTGTGCCCTGTACTCACTTCCAGCTAAAAAAAATCTACAGGACTTACTGCATCCCGCTTTGTAGCTGAAACCAGGAGGAAGGAGGAATCCTTGCTGTGCAGCTGCTGCTAGGGTTCGTTGGTCTGGAGGGAATACGGGAATCATTAATGGAGGCAGCTGACCCTGGACCTGCTGAACAGGAGAGGGAAAATCAAACAGGGAATTTTTTTCTGGGGAAAATGTCTGCTTTCGTGCTTTCTCTTACTCCTGATCCGAGAGGCCAGGTTTGAATACGTTCCTCCGAAATGGGCTGCTCCTGTAGCATCAACTATTCAGCCTCATCTTAGCCAAATCACTTCATATGAATTACATTAATCCAAAATAATTCAAAAGATTCCACTAACGCACATCTATGTCCAAACTAACTCTTCCCCCCATAGTCCAGAATCCCTCGATTCTCTTGGACTGCAGGGTGGGGTTTTCTTCTCTTTTATTGCACTGTGTAACAATATCTCTGTCTCAGACAGTAGCTTTCACCCTGACTGAGCCTAAACAAAAAGATTCACACACAGAGAAGTACAAATATGTGCATAAGGAGCGTACAGCACAGTCCATAGTATTTTTCTGCCCGTATACATGCATTTACTTGTACACGTGAAAAGGTATAAAGTCTCTGAGATGATAAGAAAAAAGGCCGAGACTCTTTATTCACAATAAAACACAACTAATTCTGAAGTGTTAGCTGCTCAACTTTGCACAGCAACTGTACACAACCATGCAAGTCAGGATATGGAAAATATTATATTGTAAGTGGATACTGCAGGGGACTTAAGACATGCAGAAATTAGTCATCAAAACTGGAAGCGGGCCATGGCACAACATCTAATAGTATTGCTTTTACCCAGTTCTGTCCGAGTTTTTAATTGCTAGGCAAGGACAGTGTCTTTGTATTTCACACAGCTGAGAAACAAAAAATTTGCTAGATGAGAACGTTAAGTGGCTGGTTTTAATTATAAAACACCACTGTCCTGACCAGATCAGTCAGTAACGGAGACTGTCTCATTTTTTAAGAGAGGTCATCTAGATTTTTAATGGCACTATAAAGCTAAGGCATCAGAGGTACAGATACACTGTCAAAGACTAAAATCTAGTTTGTGGTCTGTAGCCTTAAGAAGCAAGGCAACTTAAGAGTGTTGATCAACAACTTTTTTAGGCCAGAGGTGTACGAAGGCAGTACTCCTTTCAGTACTGCCTGGCAAAACCTGTGCCAGCTCCCTGGTTGTCACAGCTCGGACTACACCATCTTGACAATTCTATTTTAATTCAATCTCCTGAAGATCCAGGAGATGTCTCAGTTCATCCAACACTGTTTACAAGGCAGAAGAGTAATATGAAATTTGGGAAGGTAACCTCGTTGTTCCTGCCAGGACCTGTCAACACCGGTGTATGTGCTGACTGTTATCTTTATAGCTTGAAACAATTTGCAAGGATGGAGCTCAGGAGCACTGCTGATGGGAATTCTTGTACTGGGAGATTAAGGTTGGGCCTGAAGCTAGAATAGATGTAGCTCTACTCACTGAACTAACTCAATCCATTTTTTGTTATTCTCCTTTCTATTCTTATCCTGTCAACTAGAAGACATACATACTTTTTAACTGTACTGTTGGGGAAAAAATACCTATAAAATGTGATTTCTTCTCCATCCCCACTCAGTCACCCTAGAACTGCCCAAGGTCTGCCTTTTCGTCATGTGTTTATTTCTGTTTGTTTTGTTTGGTGTTTTTTTTTTTTTTTTGGTTTGTTTTTTTTTTTTTTTTTTAGACAAAGACAAAGTAACTGTATTCTTTTAGAACAAAAATGAACAGCCGTGTGGAATTTTTGCATAGTACTCTTCTTCGGCAAAAAGCCATAAAACTTTTTTTTAAATGGTTTCCAAAGATGAAAGTGACTTTGCCAAGCAAAGAAGCTTCAAAACAGGACTCAAAAACACTAATAGAAAGACAGATGGTTCTACTAAGAGCTTTGCTGCCAAAAAAAATGTTAAAAAAAAGTGAAAAAAATGGAGTGATGTTATTGAAGCTGACTGCAAAGTTCTCTGATGACTGCAAATACTCTTGTCCCACTGCAAGTGTTAACTCTGCCTCCAGGGCTAATATAACTAAAGCACCACACACACACAAATTGTCATTGCCAAGCCCACAATGTAGCACAAGTCTGCACTTGATTCCAAGTGACTGCCAAGTACACGAGCAAAACACCACACTGAAAAATTCCCATTTAGGAAAACATTTACCAGGAAAATGCCCTTTCTTCTTAACTCTGACTGCTGCATCTCATTTTTTCAAATGGATGCTCCTCTTTATCTCTCCAAGGGGCCTTACACCCGCGAATTTCAAATGACACAACCCTGGTTGCCTTCAGGAGGTAAGAACTATAGAGTGATGAGGATGGTTTGCATGGATACAGAAATAACGCAGTCAAAACAATGTGATTTTCATTCCAGGATGGAATGTATGTAGCAGCACTCAAACAGCCACACTTCATTTTCTCCCAAATACAAGTAAGCGCAAACGCTAGTTTATTTTAATTCGATTACCTGAAACAATACAACACAAATTATAGACTCTTCATTTTTATGGCTCATTTAACTACTACATCTTAACTTCTGTTATGTTTATTGTTATTGCCTAGAATTGCTAGGACACAACTGATTCAAGTGGCACAAAATACGGGCCCTCCTGTGTATTACATGAAGGGTATTTTCCTCCTTTTTTAATTTTTTTTTTTTAAGCTATTACTACATCAGTTACAGCTCTCACAAGTATGTTTTGTTATATAGTTTGCGTACTTTCCAGTGTTTTCTTGATGGTAACTTCTTGATATTGCATTTCTAATTTAGTAGTTTAAATACTCACAAAACTCGCAGTGGATTTAATAGGCTACAATTTCACCTCATAACTTCTTACGTAGTTTATTATTTTAGTTTGGATGATACAATCTTCCATGGACACAGTTCTTTCACTGCACATCCTATTGCCATGATGCCAATTGATCACACAGTTCCCTGATAAGTCTTTTAATTTGAATGCCATCACCACATATCAGATTAACCAGAAGTGCTCTTGTACTGCCTGACAAACTGTAAAGGCATGGTATGCACAGGAAAGGCATAATAAAATAATAACACATAAAATAACAAAGAAATGAAATGAATGTCGTGAAAACAATAATATTCTATACAATCAATTCACTAGTCAAGGATCTCATACTTTCACTCACGTATCTCTGACAAGTAATTTGGGGCAAGGGGGAAGCCCAGGCTGCAATGAAAGATGTAAACCATACCCCTTGACATTTAGTTTATGAGAAATAACTCCCCTTAAGGAAGCAGACACAGAAGACTTCATAATAGTTCAAGGAAGTAAAGGTTCTCTAATTCATAATGAGGAGAATACGACACCTTCTGCAACAGTATTTTAAGAGAGGTAGAAATTGCAACCAAGTTTGACATAGAGTCCAAACCAAAATCAGAGACCCTTCATACTTGTCACTGAAAATCCGAAAAGAAGACTACCCCTAAAAGAACTTATCAATGAAAATAAACCAACATGAGCATATGACAACTAGTAAACCTTATGATCTACTTTTCCAAGTGGGGAACTGAGGCATCCAGAGTTGCCCACAAAGATTTTTCTTTTTGGAAAATGCCTCACTGTATCATTATTTGTTCCATTGCCTTCAAAAAACTGCCCTTAAATGACTTATCCTTATCGAAAGGAAATTGTTAATAAACTTGGAACTGACTCAGGTTGTTGAAGTCTAGACCAGCATCTTCACAGATCTGTGTGTGTCCTGTATGACTTGACCGTAACAAATGCAGCCACACAAAGCTGGGCATTCAGAGTAGCCACAGCTAGGCCCCCAGCACTCCCAGCTTCCTTAGAATTCCAGTATTTCCACCTCAGTTCTGGCCTCCTATCTACTTTTAGGAACATACTATGGTTACCACAGCTACCTAAGCACTAAGCAGTATGTTTTTAACAGTTACCCCTACTGTTTGTTACTAGCTCCTGCTGTGACATATGAATTTCGATGGCTGACACTTGACAACTACAGTTCTACTCTTTTTTCTGGAAAATGTCACGTGCACTTTGGGTCACTATATAAATAGCTACAAAGACAAAATAGTTTAAGGAAGCATTAAGGTTGGAAAGTCAGGCATTCAAGGTTTAGGAAATGTCAGAATCATGATAGTATGCCTGACCTTATTTTGGTCCTTTATGCCCATGCCTCCTGACAGACTCTTTAATTAAAAGTTCACAATTTCCACACACTCACCCTAAAGGGGGCTCTTGCTTGATCTAGCATGCTTGTAAGGTTTCTCAAGTAACACAAACCTGGGCTTTCACAAATCTAAGCCTCTAACATAGCAGCTGCTTTCCATTTTATCTTTATACACTTCCACCAATTTTATTTCCACAGTTGCTTATTACATGTTTATTAGCATAAACTTCTATGTTTTAAGTTTTCCTCTCTCCAAGGTAAATATCTGAATACATTTCCCAGCATCCACATGTAACACTTTCCACTGCTCTTCCACCCACCTCTAGCTCTTCAGAAGCAATTCTATCCACTTCAGTGAGACCAGTGGTGGACAAATTACCCAGTGTGAACAAGAACGGCTGCTAAAAGCAACACTCCCTTCCCTACCAACTGACAAAACTCTAAGCAACGCTTTACTCTTGAGCAGTTTAGAAGATGCCCTTCAAGAACAGTATGAACATCTTTGCTGAAATGATCTCTTACATGGCTTCTTCATTTAGAAGTGTGGATAATTTTTATTTTCCTTTGAGTTACTCTCAGCTACCTCAAAGAAGCTCAGATTTTACATTCCTAGAACAGTGGATGCACATGAATTAACTTCAAACTGTTGTACGAATATCTTCTTGCCTGCGACTTGTTTATAAGTTAAACATCTCTTCTACTGTATATAAAAGAATGTAATGCACATTTAACATGCAATAACATAAATCTGTCCTTCAAAACTGACATGTTTAATTGAATCAGTCCCCCGTCCTCCAGCAACACTTGGCTCTTGGTGGCACACACCATGCTGGAGGACTGGATTCTTGAATTAGCATATGTGTTGGCCATCTCCTTCTCACTCCCTCACACCGCCCCACGTCTAT